ATACATCACCCTCCAGCAGCAAACAGCATTCCCACACCACAAACCTGCCTAGCCCTAGAAAGTTGGGCAGTTTTTCTGCTCTTGTCCAGCTGGCAAAGGCCAATCTCTGTGTAAGTCATTAAGGAGAACAGCAGGTGTTGGCAATTTCTTATGCAAAGCAAATCTCACATTAGTTTTCCACTTTCTACTAAGTTTAGGGAGATTTCTGTTGTTTTCCCTTTGATTGTTGTAGTTCGGGAACATAAGCAGTACTCAAATACTTGTTCATTAAAGATATACAGCAAATGTATGTTTACATATTTATGAGAAAAACTGCAAGTTTTCTGCTTTAGTCATTTTTATTTTAACCAGTGGCCTGACATTTAATCCCAGTGAAGCTGTGAGCTATGCTTTCAGTGTTTTAGCTGGTAAATGTCACTCTGCTACAGTGCTGCATTCACCAGCTCTAAAGCAGCTTTTATCAGCAGTGGTGCCATGTGCCAGTGTTCCCAGTGTGCCAGACTGCTGGCTTAGCTTGTTTTCTTTTAACAGCTGTAGAAAATATCTGAAACAGAAAGGCAAGAACTATTCCATTTTTATATGAAAGTGATTAATATGAAATTAGATTTATAGAGAGAGTTGCTAAGTATAAATGTTGTATTCTGATCCTTTACTTTTAAACCTCCATTAATACATAGATTGATTAGTTTATTGTACTGTTTAAAAGTCTGGTTAAATTGAATTGGTAGAGGACTTTAGTATGTAGGATTTAGTTTATAGGCCTAGCTGTAAAGCCAGGCAGCCAGTGAGCCAATTTAACAGTTAGCTGGACATTTCTTTGCATTAGAGGTGAATGTAAATGGTGTAGAGAGACTTGCAGCACTGGCTTCTGGAATGATCCCTTACAGCTTGTTGGCAGCAAAATCGGATAGCCTAGTGACCGAGAAAGTCCTTGGGCAGCTGCAGCTGGAGAGGTCACAAAGGTGACACAAAAGTTGTCTTTGACCCCTTCTTTCCCCCTTTCTGCTGCGTCACCAAGAAAGACTGAACCAAACGAACTGGAGATCTTCAGAGACTTATCTCATGCAATGCAAATATTCTACAGGCAACCTTGTAGCTAAAGTAAATAGATATTGGGAAACACTTACCCTAAATAGCCAGTTGACCTTGTAGAGGCCCTGGTCCCTTCTTGCCCAACGGATGTCTGCTACTTCTCCATAGCATACTAGTGATTGCCACTGGATTCCCTGAGAGATACTTGTATTCTGCTGGAGGGGAAAAACAAAAGCCGTGGTCTTTTCAAGGTGGATGACATCAATCATTCTCCAAAATTTACTTTTGAACAGTGTTTTGAAATTCACTAGTAGAACAGCTCATCTTCTCGTACATGTTTAAGGAAGGCTGTAGATGATTCAGTTCCTTTCCACCATCAACAAGTTCATATACTGGCAGGAGCTGAAGAGCAGCATTTCGAGCTTATAGATTCCACAACAGATCCTCTTCTTTATAATGTGCCTACTTGTTTTCTCAGAATTTTCCCCTGTATCCCTCGACGAGTGTATGATGTTGGATTCCAAGCAACAGGAATGCTGGTCTCCCTTCCTGCTGATGGTATGAGAGGGAGTAAGTAGGACTGGTCAGACCAGATTTTTGGAGGGGAATTGCCACTCCAACAGGTGAGCAAGTGCACCAGTTCTAGGTATGACATGTCTCTAGACATGCACTGAAGGTTAACTGAAGGTTAATTTTTAATTATCAGAAAGATTGATTAATAGCTCTGACTTACAGATCACAACCTCAAATTCAGATAGGATCTATTTTGTCTGTTGGCTTCAGCAGGTTTATACCAGAGTCTCTTTCAGGGGACAGTTCCTAAACCCAAGCATTTTAGAATGGGAACATCTATAGTCAGAGTATTTATGGGCATGCTATATCTGCTTTGTCTTGTTTGAACTGGTATGTGTGGAAGGGGAAAGAGCAGAGGACCTGAGTTATGATCAGATCATGTTTTTTTTAGAGATGCCTAGTCCATAATTTTCCTGATCCTTTTTCATGCATGCAAGTACTTTTCCATGAATCAAAGGGCATCTGAGGAGCAGCTTACAAGTTACAAACAGTCACTGGAAGGTATAAATTGAGGGCATCATATCAAAACCTGGATATAGTAAAGTTATTTTATTATGATTTTAATTTTGTGTATTGCTTTTCTGTTTTGCACCTCAGCAAAGGTGCAGCATATAACAGCAACTCAGTGTGGCCTTTAGAGCTACATACAGGTTCACAAATAGGCCCATTTACTATTATTTCATTACATGATCTTTTGTGAGTACACTTAGTTTGGAATTCATTCTAGCATTTACCTTTGTGTGTGCATCTAGACACGAGAATACCAAATACCAGGAAGACTGCAGCTGGTAGCCAAGTTTAATAAAGGGGGGAAGTAGGATGAAGTGTATGGCACGGTGGCTTGATAAAGACCATGACTGTAATAGTTCAGGTTTTTATAAAACCTGTTCTACAATTCTCAACTTCTGGGCTGAGGAGAATGTTAGGATGTCCACCTGACCTAAATAATTTCTGTGATTGGTGGGTTTTTATGTCGGACTGTGGAAAGTAAGGGACCAATGTGAAACTCTCTCCTTGCTTTAGACGACTGGGTTGAGCTTTCATAGTAGATGAAGGCTAAAAGAGTGCAGAGCCAGTAAGAGCCCCAAAGAAAGACAGGTGGAAGGGCACCTGGGAATAGGGATGCAGAGGGAGATGAATACCAGTGATCACAAAGAAAACCAAGGAAGAGAGGATGGGTGGGAGACACCTCAGAGGGCTGGGTAGTGTACAGAGAAACATCGAAATGGAAGACACTGAGGAAAGGACAGGGGAGAGGACTGTAACATAACAGCAAAAGGACTTGGGGAGCAATGAAGATAAGACAATATTTGTACTCCAGGTATCTCCACTAAAGGAAAGGGAAAGTAGAGTTTCTGTTTAGCAGTGGTGCACATTTTTATCCATTTGCTTAAAGATGAATTTTGAATCTGAAATCAGTAGTCAGACTGAATATTCAACTCACAAAAAAAAGCAGCAAATAACTTTTTTAGACTGTTATGCACATGTCTGAAACAGACCAGATTCTGCAGCAGGGACCCTGGTGGGTTTTGCCTGCAAAAACACAGGAGAACACTCCCAAGTTCTTTCCTATGCCTATGTTTACACTACAGTAACAAATGTTACAAATAGAGATACCTAAACATGCCTTAATTTAGATATCAGTAGCCATGTGCCAGTAGCACAATCAACATCAGTGCAAATTAATCAAACTTGTCAAGAAATAGGGCAAAATGCATGGTTTAGTTCATATATATGGGAAAGTTTCTTTGAAATCTAAAATGCAGTGTGTGTGTGGTTTATGTGGTTTATGGCCTTGCTTGCCAAGCCAAATGTATAAAAACCAGATCTTCATTCTCAGCAGATTGTAGAGTAGGTTTTAAAGTCCCAGCATGGATTTACATGAAATCAGGTTCAGCAGGTTTGAAACCATAGTATATTACTCTTGATTTCAAAAATCTTGTACACAAAGTTGATGTGTTCAGCTTCTTTGCTTCTTAGCTATATAATTGCTAATTTAAAAGAATTACACTGTTGCAATTTTCTTATACAAGTATTTGTGGCTGCTGATATTCTAAAATTTTAAGATTAAAACAGTATACAGCATGTTGCTTGTAAGGGACTTCTAGAAAATACCCACAAGTCTTGCATGAATAAATAGTTCAATTAAGATCAACAATAAAATCAGAATGATTTTGCATATAGTATTACATTCTGTTGATTCTGATAAGAAAACACTGCATTACAGTCATCACATCCACAATCTAGATTTCTGGGGCTGTCTTAAAGGCAAAGGAAAGTATAGGTGAGAGAGTTCGGAACTCAGTAGCACCAAAGCTGCTCCTGCTTTTAAATGAGGCAAGGTGCTGTTAGCCACTTTATCAGTGGGATCTTGCTACAAAGCAGGGAGGGAAACATTCTGAAAATGATTGCTACAGCTCTGAAACAGAAACTCTGATTATTTCCCCACTACCACCAATATAATATCTTTCACAAGATGGTGAACTTGGAACAAAAAAATGTGACTTTATAGGATATGGGGCCATGACTTTATAGAAGAACTCTTTATTTCCATGTAACCCCCAGCCATGCAGAAAAGTGCTGATTACATGGTATTAGTTAAATTTAGTAAGAAATTCCTTGCCTGAAATCAATTTTGGTACCCAAGTTAAACCTTTTACTTTTAAGCAGTCTGTTTTTCAGTTTACCAATGTCTAAAATTGAAAGACCACTTTCTTTTACTGTTAATATTTATAAGTGAATTTGAGATCCTCTGCTACAAGGACATGACGTGTATTTACTAAAACACCTTCCTTCTGTATGCTTGTTTCTGTGTACTAGTGTTTATTAAAAGAAAAAAAAAATCCAATCATGGATATCAGCTAGTAGATTCTGATGAAGGTCCTAATTCATCAGCACATTTTTGCTGAACTCTTAAGTGTTTTGCTGACTTAAGCCAAAGTTCAAGAGGTTTATAACTGGATCCCAGGTTTAGTAATCCTAATTAAACTTCTTTGGCCTTATGCCTTAATCTGTGCACAGATCTCATGAATGATACAACACAAAGCTGTGACTGAGATTGGAAGTTATTTTAGTTATATATCCATGAGTCAAGGAATTCTGCTTCCTTCATAGAAATTAACTGTGCCGTCTCAGAGCTCTTCTCCTCCTCCTTGACATGTAAAGAATGATGATCTTTTGGGGCAGCTACTTTGAAATAATGTCTTTTGTTTGCCCCATTTCTGTCCCCCTTCCCCCTTTTTTTTTCATATTCACTTGCCTCTTCTATTTTTTAAAATATATTTGGAAATAAATTTTTTTGTAAATGCAGTGTTATATGAATATACACACTTTTAATTCTTTGTCATGTGAAAAAACTCATGTTTTACTTTTGTAAAATGTTTCATCTCTTTTAGATATTGTGCAATGGACCAGGAACATGTGTTCCTGTCTGCATATCTGCTCTTCTTCTTCGGCTTCTAGGAATAAAGAGAGCAATCATTGTATATGTAGAGAGCATCTGCCGCGTGGAAACTTTATCCCTGTCTGGAAAGATTCTTTACTACTTTTCTGATTATTTCATCGTTCAGTGGCCTGATCTAAAGGAAAAATATCCCAAGTCAGTATATCTTGGTCGAATAGTGTAACAACAGAAGACAAGCTTTACCTAAAATAAACTCTGCAAACTCCTCACTGAAGAAATGCACTGATGTAGTGATTTATTTTCAAGGATTCCTGTTAAGAAATAAGGCTGGTACTGGAAAAGGAGACAATAATAAAGATATCTCTACATTTAAGTACATTTTTGTGTAGTTATATTTATTGCCTTTGTGTAGGTCTGTTCACCAGTACCCCATAATGGCCTTAAGTCTATGCTGTCTCTGTTTTCATGTAGTTTTCCTGCTGTGTGAATGGCAATTTTTGTCTGCAAATAAATATGGGAATTTGTATGAATGTAACATTTCCTGTAAGGAAACTTTTTGTAGTTTTCTAAATTGTAAGAAACAAAGTCTTGTTCTAGCACAACAGACTTTATTTCCTGTATGCTAGCAGTGAAGTCCCTTGTGAATCCTTAGAGTATAAAGGAAACAGTTATATTAAGTTGGCTTCATGACAGTTTGTACTCTACAGTCTTCCAAAACCCCCAGAGCATTAAACCAGTATCATTTTTCCTCTGGGCTTGTCAAAGCTGTCCTTATAATCTGTAGTGCACCTTTTGAAAATTGTTGCTCACTTCTTAAGATAAATAAAAAGGTGACAAGTGTTATGCTACAGGCACAGTACTTACAGATTTAAGAATTACTTTCTTCAAAGCATATGTGAAAAAATCCTTAGCAGGTTTACATCAGGGAGAGCAAACTGTCACTTGGGAAAATTGAACTAGTTCAGGCTCTAAAATATAGAAAAGAAAAAAAAAGTGTTACTATCAGTAATAGGCAAAGGAACAGAATTTCCCTCTCTTTTCCTGATACAGAGAGTTTGACTTTCAGTATATCTTGTTTTCTCATTTTAAGCATGTTACTTTCAGCAGTACAATATGCACTTAAGATTTTGTCGTGGAAATGGTATTCTGTACATTGGAACAACTTTTAAAAGGTATTTTGTTGGAGCTAAGTGTGTGAAAGTCTACTTTAACATTTCACATTCATCTGACAAAATGTAATTCCACACGCTGTTCCACCTATAAAGCAATATAAACACATCTGTCATCTATACACACACAGAGCTATGCATCTGGCTACAGAAACATATACAAGAAAAAAGCTCAAAGAAACGTGGAAACGCTCTACAGCCTGCACAGCCTGACGCGGGTGAAGCCAGCAGCAGCAGACTTCACTCTCTGAAGCCTTTTCCTCAGTGTCCAATTACAAAACGTTGCAGCACTCTTCTGGTAGGGAACGGGGGCAGGAGCAGGGGGCGTGGAATTTAGCTGAACAGAAACAGTGGCTCCTGCTGTTAGGAAACAAGGGTCTAGAGGAATAGTCTGCTTTATGCATAAAATAATTTGAAATCATCAGGAAACTTTATGCAGAAAACTACCGTCATGACATTGCGAGGCCTTGTGGGGAAGCCAGCTGTTATAACCTGTCCAACAGGCTTAGTAATCCTCAGCATAAGTAGAGTGCCTTGATGTGGCCACATCTGAGTTCAGAACAGAGAGTTTTTGTGGGTTTTGACCTAGATTATGTCTGACATTAAAGAGCAGTTAATAGGTAAGACTATGTGGGAAGGACTCTGTGCAGTACACACTCAGGTCCTTGAAAATGACCTGGCTGAAGTAAACCTGGTGTCCTGGAGTCCCTGGAGTGAGGACTATCTTAACAGGACTTTCTGTACTGTCACAGATAGTTTGGTAAATTGGACTTTATTATGGCTGATGGTAGTTTGTTTTAGATTAGTGCTCTCTGCACTGAATGTTGCTTTGAATCTTGCTTTCTGTTTTGCAAGGAAACTAGAGTAGAGGGGAATGAGAACGGAGGCAGCCTCTTCCTCTGGTCTGGGTAAGGGGCAACAGCACAAGATCAGCGCTCCAAGGCTTAGAGAAGCATGAGAAGAGAAAGGCAATGAATGCTTCCATTCATGCACCACATCCCATGCCTGAATAGCCCACTGGCCTGGCAGTGAGGCAGACTCCTAGACCGCCTAGTCCGTAAACACAGGCAAGGCTCAAACGGCTCTGAGTTCACATGCTGCTTCTCTTTAGAGCAAAGCAGAACGTAGCCCATTCTCATCCTGCTCTAGATTTATACCTCGGTGAAAGCATCTCTGGCTCCTCAATTCTTCTCTTAGAGCCCTGCCCAGGGCAGGATTTTGGCTTTTGGTGCACTTTCAAGCTGTGGGTTCATAAACTTTGTGAGTCTGCCTTTGAACACTGGGGAGTTCCAGGCATTTTCTTCCACCTGTCACCTGCGTGGCAACAACTACTGCTAAAGGAAAGTACTTGCCTGTTCAGACTTGTAACCTCCCATGTAAATGCTCTGAAGGTAACGGTAGATTTTTTCACAAGAGACTGTTCTGAAAAACTGAACTGCTCCAGGCCCTCTGGTGTGGGGGAATCTCATTTTCAAGGACTTGGGAATACTTTTCCCCCCTTTACCTCACTGCCAGCCTTTTGAGGGAGCAAAGCTGAGAGAATCTCTGCCTGTGTTCCCTCAACAGCAAGTTCTTTACTCTGTTTGGTGAACCTGGGAAACAGGTTAAGATAGCACATATAAACTGGTTTTTAATCCAGATAATCAGCTATGAGAGAGTGGAACAGTACCCATTTCCTTATATTTGTTACTATTTTCCTTACTGATTACTGGCTCAAGTGCCAACTTGAGTTAAGGACACTTAAATTTTGGCAGTTTATAATTAGTATTAGCAAGTGAAAACTTGGATTAGAAATGACCCAGAAGTCTGTAAAGTTGAAGCAACTAGAACTACTCAGGAGAGCTCAGAAACAGAAAGACCACAGCCTAACTCTGACCAAAGCCTTCAACAAAATGCTGCATTGCAACCATAGGGGATGGAACAGAAAAGAGTTGCTGGCTTGAATTCTCTTAAAGGAAGTTTTGTTATCAACTAAATTGACTTTTCCTTGAAAAGGTTATCTCAAATAACTGCTAGTTCTCTCCAAAAGCACAGTGGAGCAGAAGTAAACTAGCATTTTGTTATTGAGTAGTTCTTATCTCTTGTTTTTAGTAGGTGGGTACAACGAAACTGTCATTGTTCTAGGGGAAAACTGCATTCTTCCTGCTCCCAGCATGGAACAGAAAACGGCACTCCCAGGGTCTATCCAAAGACTTAAAGGTCGCTTACTGGATTCCTTATGTTTAGATTCTTGGGTTTTGCTATGTCTCATTCTTTCCCTTAAATATTAACATTGAGGCAAACATGTTTGCATTATGTACATGAGGGGTGTTTGGAGTGCAATACATTACCTCTTTTTTTTCTATTTCCAAAAGACGAAAACATAGTATCTTACAGATTTAAAGCAAAATAGAGAAGAAATATATTCTTAAAGAAAACAAATATGACTTTGTGGAAATATCATCATCAAAATTAGCAAAGATTCGAAAGAGAACAGAAGGCATCCAGAAATTCCTTCCCCGAGTCCTAGTCTGGAAGCCAAATTCTAAATGTGTTTTAGTTATCAGACTGTTTTATCTAGATATGCATTAGTTGACAAATATTAAGTATTCTAAGTTGCTTCTCTTTTGACCTGGTTGTCTTCCAATGAAGAGTATATATTGCATGTACATTAAAAAACAGGTTAATTATATTTTAGAAAAGGAGGAAGGGAAGATAAAAGAGAAGAGCCAGTTGGACTGTAATAAAATAACCATATGAGAAGAAGGTTGACTCTCGATAAAAACAGCTCAGAAGATTATTTCCAAGCTATGCCAGAAGAAAGCTAAACAGGCTGATCTGAAAGCTAAACAGACTGATTTACTTTCAGCCAATGATTCGAATTTCTTACAAGTCTGCAGTGACCATTCCAATAAAGTTATGCTGTTCTGTAACATTTTGCAAGCCATTAAGGATTTCTGGGGAGAGTAGTCAAAGTCTCAAAAGTAACTTCTGAAGTTGTGCTCACACAATTCTTTAGACACCTGTTTTTCATGCAAAAACATCCTGTCTTAACAGATGACAGTTAATGCCTTGAGACAAAAGATTGCTGTATACAAATAGCACATAGACCATTTTAGAGATACAGATGCAAATCATGTTTTGTAAAGCAAAAGATCCTCTTCTATCTGTGCAAGGGGCCACAGAACATAAACAGTCCTGGTGAGACCATCTTTTCCATCCTTTTTTCACCCCCAAATGAGCTTATTGGTGTGCTATCACAAATCACATCCAAGCAGCAGCCTGTTTTCCTGAGACAGGAGAGAAAGTAGGTTGTCTACGTGGAAGAATATCTCGGAGACAGTTAAGTAGCGGCACTTGCACAAAAACCTTTGCCTTGTTCAGTGCCAAGTGGCACGATCCAATTGAACACAGTTTTGCCCCACAGTTCATTCCTTGGCAAATAGCACAAAAGGCTTGTGTCACCATCTCTCTCTAAGGACTGTGTCTCCTACATCTGCATGATGGAAATGAAGGGTTTTAACAGACCCTTGCTAGATGTCTTCACTGTTCCTCAAACACATTGCATACACAGTACTTGTATTCCCTTCAAATCATGTTTGTGTTGCCTTTCCCTCTACTGATCACACTTGAAACCAAGTCAGTGTGCTAGGCTATGGAGTTACAGTACTGCAGCAGATACAAGCTGCTGATCTTACACTGCTTTTTTTTCTTCTTTAAAAGCAACTTTTGCTCTCCCAGCTGGTGGCACTGGGAGTGAACACAAGCATACAAGGATATAGCCATGGCCATCCCACTTCACTTCTGGTAGTTTGCCATGGTGCGCTAAGTAAAGGCCAGACACAGACTACTACTAGGTCATGCATGTCATAAATGTTGAAGCTTTAAAAAGTAACCTTTTTTTCTTCGATTTAAAGCTTACTGTGCAAATCAGAAACATACATTTTTATCTAGCATTGGCTATTTTAAGACAGTATAGGAGGGATAAGCGATAACATTCTCTTCAGAAACATTTTCTACAACAGATTGCAATACCCCTCTCAACCTTGTATAGGTCAGAGCAGATTGCATTCATATTGTCCCTGTAATGCATGTTACATGTTCACTGTTAGTTTGGACACGGGTAGATCTTTCCTTCCAGTCAAGCAAGGGACATCAACAACCATGGTGGACATAAGAGCTTTGATCACTGGGGTATGTATCAGAGACTTACCAGCACTAGGAATAGATCATACAACCCTCAATCTACGTTTTCAGACTGACTTCAGGAAAATAGTTCATGAAAGCAATTATGAGCTGGTTGTTGAATGTAGTGTTTAAGACAACCATTCCCTAGGACATTAGTTTTTAATTACCATTTCAGCAAAAATAGTCTTCCATTCATTAGTAATGCTATGTGAATGAAGGACAGCTTACATGTGATGAACGCACAAAGAT